ACCTCATAAGGAACATTCATGCCATGTTTGGTTTCATTCCATTCAGTAGTTCTTCAAAAGAAGACTTCTGAATGTATTTTACATAGGGTCCTTTGTTAAACTAAGTTTCCCGCTGGCAGCCATCTTGGATGATTGATTGGCTACAAAGTAACAACACTTGGCCAGCACCTCATTAGGAACATTCATGCCATGTTTGGTTTCATTCCATTCAGTTGTTCTCTAAAAGAAAACATTTGTATGTATTTCCCATAGGGTCCTTTGTTAAACTAAGTCCCTGCTGGTGGCCATCTTGGATGATTGATCGCCTACAAAGTTACAACACTTGGTCAGCACCTAATAAGGAATATTCATGCCATGTTTTATTTCATTCAATTCATTGGTTCTCTAAAAGAAGACATTTGTATGTATTGTCCATAGGGTCCTATGTTAAACTAAGTCCCCCGCATGCGGCCAAATGGATGATGGATCCGCTACAAAGATACAACACTTGGTCAGCACCTCATAAGGAACGTGTATGGCTTGTTTGGTTTCATTCCATTCAGTGGTTCTCCTAAAGAAGACATTAGTATACATGTATTGTCCATAGGGTCCTTTGTTAAATGAAGTCCCCCTCTGGCGGCCATATTGGATGATGGATTGGCTTCAAAGTAACATCATTTGGTCAGCACCTCATAAGGAACATTCAAGCCCTGTTTGGTTTCATTCCATTCAGTGGTTCTCTAAAAGAAGACATTTGAATGTATTGTCCATAGGGTCCTATGTTAAACAAAGTCCCCCGCTGGCAGCAATCTTGGTTGATGGATCGGCTACAAAGTAACAACACTTGGTCAACACCTCATAAGGAACATTCAAGCCATGTTTGGTTTCATTCCATTCAGTGGTTCTCTTAAAGAAGACATTTGAATGTATTGTCCATAGGGTCCTATGTTAAACAAAGTCCCCCGCTGGCAGCAATCTTGGATGATGGATCGGCTACAAAGTTACAACACTTGGTCAGCACCTCATAAGGAACATTCATGACATGTTTTATTTCATTCCATTCAGTGGTTCTCTAAAAGAAGACATTTGTATGTAATGTCCATAGGGTCCTATGTTAAACTAAGTCCCTCTCTGGTGGCCATCTTGGATGATGGATCGGCTTCAAAGTAACAACACTAGGTCAGCACCTCATAAGGAACATTCATGGCATGTTTGGTTTCATTCCATTTAGTGGTTCTCTTAAAGAAGACATTTGTATGTATTGTCTATAGCGTCCTTTGTTAAACTAAGTCCCCCTCTGGCGGCCATCTTGAATGATGGATTGGCTTCAAAGTAACAACATTTGGTCAGCGCCTCATAAGGAACATTCAAGCCATGTTTGGTTTCATTCCATTCAGTTGTTCTCTAAAAGAAGACATTTTTATATATTGTCTATAGGGTCCTGTGTTGAACGAAGTCCTCCGCTGGCGGCCATCTTGGATGATGGATCGGCTTCAAAGTAACAACACTTGGTCAGCACCTCATAAGGAACATTCATGCCATGTTTGGTTTCATTCCATTCAGTGGTTCTCTAAAAGAAGACATTTGTATGCATTGTCCATAGGGTCCTACGTTAAACGAAGTCCCCCGCTGGTGGCCATCTCGGATGATGGATCGGCTACAAAGTAACAACACTTGGTCAGCACCTCATAAGGAACATTCATGCCATGTTTGGTTTCATTCCATTCAGTGTTTCTCTAGAAGAAGTTCAAAATGTAAAAAGTTAAAGACTACGGACGATGATGGACGATGGACAACGGACGCCAAGTGATGAGAAAAGCTCACTTGGCCCTTCGGGCCAGGTGAGCTAAAAATGGCCCTAAATAAGGAGTGTATAAACTAAGAAATGTACTAAATGTGCTTAGAAAAATATCAATTGCATTTATATATGTGTTTAATTTACTTTATTTACGGAATTATTTCACTTGTATTAAAATTTGGCGATGTGTATTTAAAATGCCACCAGGTGAAAAAATCGAAAAAGTATCTAAATTGTAAAGTTTTCAACTGAAAAAATACAACAGTACAACGTGCATGATTTTCGGTATTTATTCTGTATAACTGTTCTTTTGATCTTTATCCGTGTGCATTTAAACCTGTAGGGTACACCGTTCCAGGTGTGAATGTCAATACGAATGAGTAATAAGACACAAGGGCAAGTATAATACACATATATAAACAAAAATAATTTAATATATAGAGGGGAGACAGGGTGGCAAATACATTGACTTCCGTGGAATATTTTATTATCTTTTGCGTATGCTCCATTGCAAATTTTGAAATAAATCATGAAATACTTTAACATGTATTTCACAAATTAAATATGTATAAAAAGGACAAAATAGCATTGAAATAATTAAGTACCTCCGAAGCGCTTTTCACTAACCCCACTGGGAACGCTCTTATCCATATATTTGAAAATCGCTGTGTAAAATAAAAAATATATTTTTTTTTTTTATATTGGTGTATTAGACCGACTTTTATGATGCATTCGAAATGACTTTCGCACCTAGAGCGGTTTCACCAGGAGTCTCAGTTAAAAAAACTCTTGTAAAGATCCAAATAATTACTTTTTTAACAGAATGTCGATAACCCGGTTTTTTCAATAATGGAATAAAGTATAAATACAAGCTTATTAGAAAGCTTATTAGATAATTAAGGTTTCCTTTATTGCTAAATGTTTAAAAAAACTATTCGTGATCAAAAGTTGTCAATTTTGCTCATGAATAACTTTTATTCACTTTATTGTATTAATATGAATTGGAGCGTATTTTTTCATAAGAAGATTTATATATGGTCCCTAAAATTGTCTGTTGTCTTTGTCGTGGCTAATAGCACATGAACAAAAGTAATACGTTTATATATATACACAGTGATTGTTTTCACTTTGACGTGCAATAAATAAAACGTGAAGCGCTAGATAAACGATAAAGGAAAGTGTGACGCTCTCTCAGTAACATGAAATAGACAGAAAATGGGTCATTGTTAGTTGATCTGCATAACACAGAATGATGGACTGTTAGATAAGTAAATATTTGAAGTAAGACAAACAGGAAAAATGTCATGAATGTAGCTGAATAAAAAGCCACAATTAACATTTGGAATAATTTTATCTGATGAACAAAAACAACTTTGTATTTTTATCAAAATATCTAACATTAAAAACAAAATTTATTTGTAAACAAGAATGTGTCCATAGTACACGAATGCCCCACTCGCACTATCATTTTCTATGTTCAGTGGACTGTGAAATTGGGGTCAAAACTCTAATTTGGCATTAAAATTAGAAAGATCATATCATAGGGAACATGTGTACTAAGTTTTAAGTTGATTGGACTTCAACTTCATCAAAAACTACCTTGACCAAAAACTTTAACCAAAAACTTTAACCTGAAGCGGGACAGACGGACGAACAGACGGACGAACGAACGAACGAACGGACGCACAGACCGAAAACATAATGCCCCTCTACTATCGTAGGTGGAGCATAAAAAAAACAATTTTGCATAATTGCTAAGAAAACAAGCTGTCAAATCAGCTCGTCAAATTGGCTTCATGGTGCCCACAACTATATGCCTCGTACAATTTAAATTTCATAAGTCTTCATTGAAAAATGGTAATTGACACTGAATTTCCAAAACTTTAAAATGAATATTTCTATAGTAAAAAGAAATAAGTTCAAGACGTCTCTCTTATACATGTATTTTCAAACAATTGTAATGTTAATGGATCTGTCCCAGTGACTTTCTATCCATTTACAAAAGGTCGATTTGCTGACATTTGAGTGCAAAATGCATCTGTTTCTGTTCTCTACAGTCAAATATATCAGTATCAAATGTCAATTGAAATTTATATAAAATTAACAATATGTCCATAATTATTATGAACTTCAAGTTAATACTATTTGTTTGTCAAAATTTAACCGTTAGAAATTTTGAAAATATATGCTTTCTCATCATTATCTTCAGCTGGTGCATCTCATAATAATCATAAATTTCGTTCTTTATACATTCCATTAATATATAGACTCAGTGTTAACTAAATAAACTGTACACGCTCAATTTGATATTTGTATGATTTCATTATTCATATCTTGTATATTACTATCAACATTGGAAAGTTGTACATAGGATGTATATTACATCTGGCAGCATTTGGTATGGCATCTTTCATAAATTTTACCTGTGCACACCTGGTTAACTTAGCAAGGAAGCATTCATGCATGGATACCCGCATTGTGTAATGTTATACCCTCCAGGAATTCGCTAGAATATCCGAATGTGTAACTTTGACATGACCTCTGGCATTAATTTTTTCAGCCATGCCATTTATCAAATTAGGAGAGAACCCAGAATCAAATAAATATATAACATACAAAGTTGTTTAACCAGAAACACATCAACATCATATTGACATGGAATGAAACTCCTGTATGCCATGCTTGTTTTGGGACTTTGTGGTATTTAGATATCACGTGATTATTTGTATAGAGATGCTATCAAGATGGCAACATGTCGAAAGTTGATAGTCAGATTTTAAAATCCAATTTGATCATATATTTAGGAGAATAAAACATTAATATTAATGGAAATATGCATATTTATATCGAATAAACATAATATCAAATTTCAATTTTTTTGCGAAGTTTCCCTTTCAGAGGAGAACATTTTTGTAAAGGTTAACAGACGAGGACAACGGATGACGGAGGATGGATGCCAAGTGATGAGAAAAGCTCACTTGGTCTTTCGGCCAGGTGAGCTAAAAATGGGTCAGAGGGTCTGAGACGGAGATCGTCAGGAGGCAGGAAACAAGTACATATATTTTTTTTACCTGAGAATTTGCCTATTTTTCAAAGTCTTTTTCTTGATTCTTCCAAATATTTATCAATTTATACAAAAATTTTGCCTGATTCTAAAAGTTTGGATTTAAACACATTCACTTTTATATCCAAAACGTACTACAATCTATATACACAAGTTTACCTCATTGCGAATGTTTTTTGTGAGGCAATCAATTCAAACACATGAGCCAGCTGTACACGTATGATGTCCTTTTTTCTTCTTCTTTTGATATTCTCCTGTTTTCTCTCCACTGCTTCTTTTAGATAAGGAACCAGTTCTTCTACAAGATCTCTGTCAAGGACAAATATCTTTTTATAATTCTTTGCCATTAAAAAATCTTAAATTCTAATCATACTTTACTAAGAAACAAATCTTAACCTACTAGTCATATCTGTCAGATAAAACAAAGTCAAACTGTATTATGCAGCCAAAATCAAAACCAAACCTGCAAAGTAAAAGATGACTGTCAAATCTATATTCCTGCATTTTTTCTCAAAATAAGCAGCAAAAATCTTTCTTTATCATAAGACTGGACAGCATGCCAACATCATTTGTGATTAATACTCATTTGCAAAATTTACCTTCTGTCAGGGGAGAGTTTTTTAATTTGTTGCCGACCTTCCGATTTTCAGAAAGAAAAATAAATGGGGAATGTGTCCATGGGACACAGATGATGCCCCCGCTTGCATATAATGTTATAAAAGGACATAACTCAAGAATGGGAAAAGTGACGCTACCCAAATTTGTATTTGATCTGAGTTTTGTGGTAATAAGCATTGTGTATAAGTTTCATAATATTTGGTTGAGGCAAACTTAGGTTAGAGAATGGAAACGAAAAAGGGGCATAAATCTAGAACGGTAAAAGTGACCCTACCAAAATTCAAACTTGATCTGTGTTTTGTGGTAATAAGCATTATGTATAAGATTTATAACATTTGGTTAAGGAAAACTAAAGTTAGAGAATGGAAGCAAAAATTCAGCAATTTTTTCATTTGTAAAGGGGCATAACTCTAGAACGGTAAAAGTGACGCCACCAAAATTCAAACTTGATCTGTGTTTTGTGGTAATAAGCATTGTGTATAAGTTTCATAACATTTGGTTGAGGCAAACTAAAGTAAGAGAAGGGAAACCAATTTTGGGAGGTTCGGACGGACGTACAGACGGACAAGGGTAAAACTTAATGACCCCTCCGCTACATCGGGGGCATAAAAAATTGACATTTCATGCTTTTTTATTCCTGCCGACCCTAACAAATACATTATCCCTGAAATATATCAGCAAAACAGCATTTTCATGAAATTAAATGCATTATTTTAGCATGTTAAACATTAACAGAAAAAAATAAAAGTCTAAAAATAATCCGTAGTTTGTGTTTCTAAAAATAGACAATCAAAACTGACCTCGAAATGTTGTTTGCGCAAATAATTTCGAGGAACGAAACCTATGTTAACAAGAGTGCACACGCTGAAATGTCTCGCCTGCTTTACTGACCATTGATTTTATGTTGAAAGTCTTAAAGATAAAAGTTAAACTAAAAGCATTACCGAAACTAAGGTCAGATAAATGCTGTCAGACAGACATATACACCACCTTACAATTAGTATAGTCGACCTATTGTTTATGATAATTGAAAAACAGACCAAAACAAAAAAATTAACATTGACCAATGAACAATGAAAATGAGTTCAAGGTCAGATGATATCTGCCAGACAGACATATACACCTTACAATCATTCCATACACCAAATATAGTTGACCTATTGCTTATAGTACTTGAAAAACAGACCAAAACACAAAAACTTAATATTGACAAATGAACCATGAAAATGAGGTCAAGATCAGATGATACCTGCCAGACAGACATGTACACCTTACAATCATTCCATACACCAAATATAGTTGACCTGTTGCTTATAGTATTTGAGAAACAGACCTAATCATGTTACTTTAACCTTGAAATGAGGTCGAGGTCAGGTGAATTCTGTCTGACTGACATGTAGACGTTGCAAGGAACCCATATACTAAATATGGTTATCCCATTACTCATAATAAGTGAGAAATTCACATGACAAAAAAACTAAATAAAAATTTCAAGCAGTCGCTGAACCATGAAAATGAGGCCAAGGACATTGGACATATGACAGACGAAAACTTTGTAACATAAGATATCTGCATACAAGATATGAAGCATCCAGGTCTTCTACCTTCTGAAATATAAAGATTTATACAAATAGTTTACGCCCCCGCCTCCGGATAGTGATACCTATGTCTCGCATACTGCGACTTTCGTCGCAGGCGAGACAAAAACCTGTTAAGTTAATTTGTTTTACTTTTCATAGATGAAATAGACCCGTCCAAACATGAAAGTCAAGTTAAAAGAAAGAGATATCCACAAACAATTAGGAATTTTCTTATTTCATAGATTGAATTAAATGTGGATAGTGTCCACATGTGGACACAGATGATGCCCCCGCTTGCATATCATATACTGTGGATTCATTTTTATTCGTGGTAAACCAATTTTCGTGGGATTTGTGGGTCATAGCGAACCACGAATTTAAGAATTCAACGAAGAATAATCCCGAGAAATGTGTATGGAGTCGGATGTTTATTTCCGGTTATGTTATGCAGTTCTAGTATAGTGTTGACTAGCGATAAACATTGTAACATAACACATGTTTTAATTGAAATAAGATACAAGTATTTTGATAAAATCAATAATAAATATATCGAATATCAGTGATAATTAACTTTTTAAAATTGATTAAAACTGTTCATGAAAAATAACTGCAAGTTGTTTATTACCGTGTCATAGTTTGGTTTACTGGTGATTTAAAATCAATAGGATTAAGTACGGGGATAATGTTGTTTATGACAGGAACATTTATTTTCACACCTTTAACTTATATGACTGTTAATTATATCGTGATTAGGGAAATGAGCTTTCAATCAAAGAGTTTTGAATGCCTTATAAAATTCTGACAATTTAAAAATTGAAAAAAATTGAAAAATTGTAAAACAATTGTAAAACAAACAAATAATTTGTCTCTGCCCTGCCCATTATTGTAATAGAAGTTTTCAATGGGAAGGTCTAAAAACAGGACAGTTATTTTCGATACGTTTTCATCTGTAACTTTTGTTTTACTCAACATATTGTTAAAGTTTAGATTGTGTATTAACTTACATTATTTGTAAAAAAAATTAAAATAAAAAATTAATAAGTTAAAAAAAATCTGCCAGGACAGTTAAATTTTAAGAAAAAAATGGCTGAAATTGCTGAGAAAAAATTACTTATTATTGAAACAATTTCTCCAAAACAACTGTCTGGCATAATATTTTTGTACGTTTACGGAATAATCATTCTAAAAATCTATAATTTAATATTTTTTTCGATTTTTAAAGGTAAAAAAATCTGCCAGGACAGTAGCCTATTACGTTAGAAATTTTGTTGAAATTAGCTCAAAATCAAAATATAAAGTTAAATATCTTCTTCAAAATGAATGTCTGGTAAGCAAATTTTGGTTCATTGGAAAGTTTAGAATATAAGCTTTATGTAAATATAAAATAATATGAACTCATTAACACAAAAAAAATAAAATGCTACGCTGGGCGCAGCTTGATACGACCGCAGAGGTCGAACCCTGAACAGTTGGGGCAAGTATGGACACAACATTCAAGCTTGATACAGCACTGAATTTGGATTGTGATTAAATATTTGACACAGCATAGGTTTCTGACACAGAATGAATGTGGTCTAAGAACTTAAAAATTTTTAATTTACCTATTCAAACCATATCATTATTATTTGCTTTTATATATAAATCAGAAATAACCAATTTAAAATGGAAAATTTTATAGAAAAAAAAAGGAAAAAAAAATCCCCCCCAAATTTTTTGAACCCCCTTATCATTCATCACCCCCAAACTCAATCCCAGCCTTACCTTTGTGGTATGGTACCTTGCAGTACAATTTCAAAGAGATCCATACACTTGAACACAAATTATTGTCTGGAAACTAGAAAAATGCTTGTTTTTTGGCCCCTTTTTGGCCCCATATTCCTAAACAATTAGGGCAATTACCCCCAAACTCAAACCCAGTTTTCCCTTTGAGATATGGAACCTTGTAGTACAATTTCATAAAGATCCATTCACTTACACACAAGTTATTGTCCTGAAACTAGAAAAAGGCTTGTTTTTTGCCCCCTTTTTAGGTCCCTAATTTCTAAAATTTTGAGGCAATTACCCCCAAAATCAATCCCAGCCTTTCCTTTAAGGTATGGTACCTTGCAGCATAATTTCAGAGAGATCCATACACTTGAACACAAGTTATTGTCTGGAAACTAGAAAAATGCTTATTTTTGGTCCCTTTTTAGCCCCTTATTCTTAAACGTTTTGCGCAATTACCACCAAACTCAATTCCAGTTTTTCCTTTGTGATATGGAATCTTGTAGTACAATTTCAGAAAGATCCATAGACTTGAACACAAGTTATTGTCATGAAACTAGAAAAATGCTTGTTTTTTGCCCCTTTTTTGGCCCCTAATTCATAAAATTTTGAGGCAATTACCCCCAAAATCAATCCAAACATTCCCTTTGTGATATGGAACTTTGCAGTACAATTTCAGAGCGATCCATACACTTGAACACAAGTTATTGTCTGGAAACTAGAAAAATGCTTATTTTTTGGCCCCTTTTTGGCCCCTTATTCCTAAACGTTTTGGGCAATTACCCCCCAAACTCAATTCCAGCTTTCCCTTTGTGATATGGAACCTTGTAGTACAATTTCAGAAAGATCCATAGACTTACACACAAGTTATTGTCATGAAACTAGAAAAATGCTTGTTTTTTGCCCCTTTTTTAGCCCTAATTCCTAAAATTTTGAGGCATTTCCCCCCAAAATCAATCCAAACATTCCCTTTATGATATGGAACCTTGTGGTACAATGTCAGAGAGATCCATACACTAACACACAAGTTATGTCTGGAAGTTACAAAAATGCTTATTTTTGGCCCCTTTTTGGCCCCTAATTCCTTAACTGTTGGTACCATAACCCCCAAAATCAATCCCAACCTTCCTTTTGTGGCATTGAACCTTATGGTAAAATTTCATAGAGATCCATTGACTTAAACTAAAGTTAGAGTGCGAAAACCAATGTGTCTTCGGACGACGACGACGACGGACGACGACGACGCCAACGTCATACCAATATACGACCACAAAATTTTTTTGCGGTCGTATAAAAATCTGCTAGGACAGTAGCCTACTCCGTTAAATTTCTGTATAAATGGCGGAAATTAACATCGCAATTTCTAACTATAAATGAAATAGTTTCTTTATTGCGATTGTCTGGCATAATATTTTGTTACTATTATAAAGTAACAGACTAAATTATAAAATAAAAATAAATTGAACAATTTTCATTTTTAAAGTAAATAAAAATCTACCAGGACAGTAACTTATTATGTCTTAACTTGTGGAGGAATTTGTTTCAAATCGAAATAGAAAGTTGAATAGATTATTATTATTTTTGTTATTCGTTGTAAAGTTTGAACAATAAATTTTAGGAAAAGATAAAATTATTCATTTGATAATAGATTAATAACTCAAAAATCTGCCCAACAGTCCTACTATAACTAAAAATTTGGTTGGCACGTGCCAAACTTTACGACCAGTCGTTGAATCTGTGTATTTGTGTATTATGTTATGTCAACCCTAAACGAGCGTGTGGTAATGAATACCTATGAGAAGATATCTATTGTTTTAAGTTCTAATTATTTGTAAAGAATACACACAGTAGGTACACTTAAACAAGTCCAGGACATGTATGTTTATATGCTCCAGTTCCAGTGTACTGTAATCAACAACAAAAATGGCTTTTTGAGACAAGTTTTACACCTTAACAGGGCCCAGTTGTACAAATTCATCATACAGGGCATTCGCACTGGTCACTTCTTTAACCAAACAATCAAATGAAGTTAATTTATTGGACAGCATGTACAGCACACTAACATCATCTTCAGAAATACCTTTCACAAATATATTCATATGATAAAAAACGTCTGTTGGTCAAGATACCAGAAGTTCAGAAACAAACTAATTCCATAGATTGTGGGTTGTTCGCAATTGCAAATGCTGTAGAATTACGTTTTACAAGTTTTTCAGGTGGGATACATGTAGAATTTGACACTGAACTTTTTAGAGAACATCTTGTGATTTGTTTGGAAAAAAGTGAATTTATTCCATTTCCAAAGAAAAAAAATAGCATGAAAGGTAAACTGAAATATAAAACTAGTGTGGTGGAATGTAATTGTGAGTGTGGTAAATGTGATTCAGTAGAATACATGTTAGGGTGTGAATGGCAGAAAGGAGTTAAAAATGCAACATTTGGAAATACGTTTCGTGTACGGGGATGACAGAAGGCGACACATTCCTGTGCTCTAAACACAATATTAATTAGTGAATAAACACCTTTTGAAGGATTTGACACCAATCAGTGACTTTGAAGTTTTTATTACTGTCAAAACATAATTTACCGGACTTAATTTGTTAAGATTTTACTTCCGATATAATAAAAAATGATTTTGCAGTTTTTAACCTTTGTGTTTTTTCTATTGTATTGTATGATGATTTATATATATGTATGCGTATGAAATGTTTTTGATTAATAAAATATAAGCCAATGCATGCCCTTTCAATGACCGCTATTTATACAAACATTTAACATAGTTGGCTACTGTCCTGGCAGATTGTTTTTAATGTTTACAAAATAAAAGTTCATAAAATTTTATATTTTTATAAAGCTGATAATTCAAACTTTCCAATGAACACAAATTTTCTTGCCAGACCTGCATTTTGAAGAAAATATTCAAATTTATCCAATGATTTTGAATTTCAACAAAAATTCTGACGCAAAAGGCTACTGTCCTGGCAGATTTTTTTTGTGTTAATGAAATAAAAGTCCATATTTTTTATATTTTCTCAAAGCTTTGATTTAAACTTTCCAATGAACCAAAATTTGCTTACCAGACATTCATTTTGAAGAAGATATTTAACTTTATATTTTGATTTTGAGCTAATTTCAACAAAAATTCTGACGCAAAAGGCTACTGTCCTGGCAGATTTTTTTACCTTTAAAAGACGAAATAAATATTGAATTATAGATTTTTGGAATGATTATTCCGTAAACTTTATAACCGCGCAAAAATATTATGCCAGACAGTTGTTTTGGAGAAATTATTTCAATTATAAGTAAATTTTTCTCGCCAATTTCAGCCGTTTTTTTCTTAGAATTTAACAGTCCTGGCAGATTTTTTTTTATTTTAAATTTTTTTACAAATAATGTAAGTAAATAACCTTTTCTTTATTATACAATTTAAAGTTTAACAATTTGTTGAGTAAAACAAAAGTTACAGATAAAAACGTATAAAAAATAACTGTCCTGGTTTTATCTGTCCTATTAATAGACCTTCCCGTTTTCAATGAACACTTTAACCTAGAATGACCAAGCGAGGATTATCACAATTCAAAACTTTTTCAATGAACTCCTATTTTTTTGTTTGTTTTTTATCGATCAAACCAAGGAGGTGATCTGATTTTCTAAATCAAAAAGAAATCCACGAATTACGTATATGATTTTTTTTTGTAATCAGCGATCCATGAATTTACGTATACCACGAAACGTCTTTTTTTTTCTCTATCCACGAAAATTGATACCCACGAAAATAAATGAATTCACAGTAGTTATAAAGGGACATAACTGAAGAACAGTAAAAGTGAAGCTACCCAAATTTGAACTTGATCTGAGTTTTGTGGTAATAAGCATTGTGTGTAAGTCTCATAACATTTAGTTGAGGCTAACTTAAGTAGAGAACAGAAACTAAAAATTCAGCAATTTTTCTATTTGTAAACACGCATAACTCTAGAAAGGTTGTGTATAAGTTTTATAACATTTGGTTGAGACAAACTAAAGTTAGAAAACGGAAACCAAAAATTTGTACTTGATCTTAGTTTTGTGGAAATGAATATTGTGTATTTTTCATAATGTTTGGTTGGGGGCAAACTTAAGTTACAGAATGGAAACTAAAAATTTTGCAATCTTTCGATTTATAAAGGGGCATAACTCAATAATGGTTAAAGTGAAACTACCCAAATTCAACTTGATCTGTGTTTTATCAGTGGTAGTCAAAAATAAACATTGTATTGTATAAAGCATTGATTGTAGTTGATTCAACTATAATCATGGACAAAGGAAGATAATTACAATTTTAATAAACAGCTGCGCCATGAGCGCATGATACGCCCGTCGTCTTGTGTGTGAATTTTTATGCAATAAGCATAAATAGTTTCTGACATACGGCATGACATGCGAAAACCCCCTTTTTTTTTAACAAAAACTCAATATCTCTAAAATATAATTTTGAATCAAAACCAAAAAGTATACAGATCTTTAGATTAATATAACTAAGAAGTGTGTAAAATTTTAAGCAATAATCATAAATCGTTTTTGAGATACGGCTTGACATGTGAAAACCCCCCTTTTAAAAATAAAAAAAATCAATATCTCAAAAATAAAATTTTGAATCAAAACCAAAAAGTATACAGATCTTTAGATTAACATAACTAAGAAGTGTGTAAAATTTTAAGCAATAATCATCAATCATTTTAGAGATACGGCGCGACATGTGAAAAACCCCTCCCCCTTTTTTTACAAAATACTCAATAACTCAAAAATAAAATTTTGAATCATCACCAAAAAGTATACAGATCTTAAGGTTAATATAACTAAGAAGTGTGTAAAGTTTTAAGCAATAAACATAAACTGTTTTTGAGATATGGCGCGACATGTGAAAAACCCCTCCCCCTTTTTTAACAAAATACTCAATATCTCTAAAGTAAAATTTTGAATCATCACCAAAAAGTATACAGATCTTAAGATTAATATAACTAAGAAGTGTGTAAAGTTTTAAGCAAT